GGAAAGAAGGAAAGAAAGAAAGAAGGAAAGAAGGAAAGAAGGAAAGAAAGAAAGACAGAAAGAAGGACAGAAGGAAAGAAAGAAAGACGGAAAGAAGGAAGGAAGGAAGGAAGGAAGGAAGAAAGAAAGAAAAAAGAAAGAAAGAAAGCCTTGTAATCTATAAGAAACAGAAAAAAATGGGATAAAAAACAAGAAAGAAAAGTTGAGGAAAGAGAAGGGAAAAAAGGTAAGTGTGAGGACTCTGTGGAGAATATGATGGGACATGCTTAATTGCTTCTCCCAGATCTCCAGAGAGCAGAGCTGTGAAGACAGAGGGAGTGGAATGAATTAAGCAAGCATAGAAAGAAAGAAAGAAGGAAAGAAAGAAAGAAAGAAAGAAGAAAGAGAAGGAAAGAAGGAAAGAAAGAAAGAAAGAAAAGAAAGAAAGAAAGAAAGAAGGAAAGAAAGAAAGAAAGAAAGAAGAAAGAGAAGGAAAGAAGGAAAGAAAGAAAGAAAGAGAGAAAGAAGGACAGAAGGAAAGAAAGAAAGAGAAAGAAGGAAAGAAGGACAGAAGGAAAGAAAGAAAGAGAAAGAAGGAAAGAAAATAGGACATTGACACATGCAGTCATGACTGCTAGAAAGATGCATGTATTTGTTTATGTGTTGTATTACTCTTTAGGGTATCCTGCTATCACACACTGCTAATGTACGAAGCAGAGCTTACAGATACGCTTGTGTGCTGATCTGTTCATTCTGTCTGTCTTTCAGAGAATGTCTGAATACAGCTCGATGTTGAGTGATCTGTCTGAGAACATCACTAATGAAGACCTGGAGCAGCTGAAGTCGGCCTGTAAGGAGGACATCCCCGAAGACCAGAGCAACTCCATCACCTGCTCCAGAGACTGGTTCAGTTACCTGGAGAACAATGACAAACTGGCACGAGGTGAGGAAGACGCCGGCCTCTTCAGTCTCCATCGATATAGTGAACCAAGCTGTCAAACCTTAAGCTTCACACACAATGGAAATTAATTTACTCTCCCTCAGGCTGTGTGGATGAGTCAAGCAGAGATTAGACTGAAGTTATGAGTCACTGATCATATTCCTCTCAAACCCCAGTGACCCTGGAGCACAAAACCAGTCATAAGGGTCGATATTGTGAAATTGAGATTTATGCATCATCTGAAAGATGAATAAATATGCTTTCCAGTGAGAAGCATGAACCGATGATGTTTGACACAACTGCCTTTGTGAACTTTTGCGAACTTTTAAAAAATAGTACACATTGTGGATATAATATACTTTTAAAGAATACACTTAAGTGTGGACTTGATGTAATGTTTTCTGGTCTAATTGTAAATAGAATGTAATATCATATAATTACGTATCATAAATAAAAACGTATTATAGTTTGAATTTATATTAAATGCAATTAACTTTAGAGTGTTTTTGACCCACTTATATAGGACTTGCGTACATGCGTATATGTAATTTCATAATTACACTTGTTGTCTTTGAAATATGGTTAAAGTACTGCTGAATGCATTTATGATCACCTAAAATATACTTTAATACAATTCCAACTGAAACTTGTATGGCATTTATTTAAATCTATTTGTAATGATGAAGTTGCAGTTTAGTACAGATTAAGCATTTAAAATCTATTAACTTTAAATACTTACTACTTAAAACAGTGATTTAACATGCACTTTAAAGTAAAACTTAATTACAAAGGTCACTTTAAAAGTCTACTTAAGTGTGTTTACAAACAGTTTTGAAAGTGTCTCTATTTAAGTCACTTAAGTGGCCTTTTATTTAACTCATTATATTATCTGCAAGTAAGGTTGGTTACTTTATTTTAAGGTGTCCTTGTTACAGTGTAATTATACATTTAAGTAATATTAATTAACTACATGTTCTTACTATATGTTTAGGGTTTGGCTTAGCATGTAATTATGCGTACTTAATTGTTATTATAATAGTGCATGTAACATGTAACACCTTAAAATAAATTGTTACCGTACAGTCTTTAAAAATATACTTTAAGTGCATATTCGATACAGTTAAGCGCACTTTTGTTTCACAAGGTAGGCACTATGTTTGAAGATGTTTAAACATTTTTATGTGTTTGGAGCGGCACGACGACACACTTTTTCATTCCTTTAAATGACGGTTGAACTTATTGTACAGGCATGTGCTCATAGTTCGATAAGACGTGTCTGTGTGTGTCTTGCGCAGATGACCTGTCCTACATAGAGCACATCTTTGAGATCTCGCGGCGGCCGGACCTCTTGACCCGGGTCATCGAGTACCGCACGACCGTGCTGAAGATCTCCGAAGACGACGAGATCGACACCAAACTCACACGCATCCCCTCGGCCAAGAAATACAAGGGTACTCAACTCTTCTCTTTAACAGTCTCTGTGTCCTTTACTTACTCTTACTTACTCTGTAACAGAACGTTTCTCCTCTATGTCACTCATAGATATCATTCGCCAACCGTCAGAGGATGAGATTATCAAACTGGCCCCTCCCCCCAAAAAAGCATGAGGTCAAAGTTCATGACCTCTGCTCCTCATCCCCGGCACTTCATCTTGCCCATCATCGTCACCAAGCCACGCCCACTGCCCCGCCCACTCCACCGAACAGAACCCAAGCAGCCAATCAGATCGCCAAGATGCTTTACAGCCACGCCACGGAACGCACGGAAAACTGAACGAAAGACAAAGAAATGGACAAAAAGACAGCGACCAGTAGACTTGCAGAAGTGAACATAGGTCAGGTTGTGTGTCGGAATGAAAACCAATCGTTCTGTGTTCGCTGACGCTCGTGTGGAGTCGTGTATGTGCGAGAGAGAGTTTATTCACACCTTTGATAGCGTCGAGTGGGATCGTAACGTTGGTCAGACCAACGCGGTTCATGTCTTAATGTGGAGAACTAGTAGAGAAACCGGTTTAGCCACTGATCGCTGTTCCTTTAGACACATTTATTCCCTGGTTAGTATCGTGGGTAGACTCCAGGTCCGTACATTCCCTTTAAAACACGACTCATATCAACATTTAAAAGTGTTACAGAGAATTAATCTCTGAATTTGTGCGATTGCCACTTAGAAAGCCAATATTTGCCTTCTTTAGAAATGAAATGCATTATTGCAGGGTATGCAATTACCTAGTAGAGGATTAATATTGCTTTTTTTATATTTCTGTATGTCACACTTCTAGGAAATATAGTTTATTAAATGATCAGTTATAGAATAATCACTGTTGCGTATCAAACGACAGCAGCATAAATGAAGTTTGTTAAACTCTCTTGGGAGACAAAATTAGACGTTTATATTCTATTATTAAATGTATAATGGGCCAAAAACCACTGTCTGTGGATGATTAGAACATGCATTGCATCAGGAAATAGAAGGCATATATTTTTGTTAAAACTTTAAATTGCTCAGTTTGACTACTTCTACTGTGAATTATTTATTCTGATGCCTCAGTATGCCATTATGTGAAACATTAGGATGATATCACATCTATTTTCAGTTGATTACTTATATACTGACAGAGGGTAAGAAACAGCTGCGACTGAAACAGGGATATTTATGTCACAGATGTGGTTAAAAATGTCATAAATATATATATTAATGAGATAACTGCAGCACTCGATATGTGGCCAAACGTCTGTACGGATCACATTGTGTATCTAAACAGCGCACCGTTTTAGCTGTTTCGGTCTATTTGTATCTATTTTTCATCCTAACACACAGCATATTAAGATTGTGCTGCGTTTACAAATATTGATATCACGATTATGATTGTGATATTCCGTCGCCTTTTATTCGCACCATCTGCTGAAAGACTGTTTAAACACGACTCTAAATTCGCTTGATCACTGTGTGCTCAGCCCCTGCAGACTGTTGTTTTCAGCCGATAAAGCCGCAGCGGTTTTTATGTGTCTGCACGCGGCGTTCAGTTCCAGGCTGCTTCTGCAACTCTCTATTATTCTGTTGTGTGATTTTGCTGAATCGAAGCAAACAAGCTGTAAGACCTCAGCATAACCTTACATTGTATCTGGAACTACGCATTTATAAAAGTCTGGGATATTTTGAAAAGCCGGATAGCGACTGGCCGCGAACATTCGTGGCCCTTTTAAACTTGAAAAATGGTTACTGTGGATTTCTTAAAAAAAGTCCTGTCAAGGTTTAGATCAGTGAATTAGTAAAGTTTGTTTCTGTCGCTGCCACCTTAAAATGACAGATCTGATTTAATTTATTTACCCTGCATAGTAGAAAGTCCTAAATGATCTTTTCCATACAATAAAAGTGAATGAGGACTATATATATATATATATATACACACACACACACACACACA